TCCCCACAGTAGATTTAAAAAAAAAAAAAAACACTTAATTTCAGTGAGTGTTGTCACTTGGGAGTGGCGTTCCAGGCAGAAGCTTCCGCCTTGCTTGGCTCAGTGGCATTCTCCGAGAGGAGGTCTGAAGGGAGACTTTGCATATTTTCTGTCACAGCATGAGTAGATTAAATAAAAAGGGGTCAAGACAGATCTTCTTGAGTCTTTGGGGATTGTCTTTAGCTTCAAGGATTTCTCTAAATAAATATTCTACTTAAAAGGTAGTTACAATGCACAAATGAAGCTAATAAATACTCAACACACATTCCTTTCAAGGAAAAAAAAATTGCGAGCACCAGTGAATGCCAAGCAGATGTTTGGCTTTAAAAAGACTTACAAACTGTTAATGAATGTCAACCCTATATTTGCTTCCAAGAAAATCTGAATAAATGTTGGAAAAATGTAGAGAGACTATTTCTTTCATAGAAATACTAAAGGGCACAGTGAGTAGGTTTTATAATTTTAGAAAATACCCAGTATGGACTTTAACATAATAATCATCTGCTCAGCCCTTGTCCCTCTCATTTGCTATTCCACCTCTACTAAGAATGTTGAAGGAACTTCATGTCTCATGCCCAGTAGCTTGTTCTGATGAGCACACCAGAGAAGTCCACATTTGACAGCGAAATACCTACAAACATACAAGAAGTCTAAGCGCTGCCAAATGCTGCTGAAACTCAGCAGGACATAATTCAGGTGTAGCTCTAGGAGAACCACAGATTCACATGACACACGATATTCACAGCCACTTGTACCGTGAAGCACGTAACACTTAAGAGCATACTCAGGAGATTTGCACAAAGTGCACAGGCATCTCACCCCAGCGTGGCCAGAGTCCCAGGAGCCCCTAGTGCTGCCTTCAGTTGTTAGCCTCGTACAGGTAACTCCTCTTGGGTGTGGCATCATCATCATCATCATCATCATCATCATCATCTTATTATTATTATTATTATTATTATTATTATTATTCTGTGCAACTGCATTATACAGCCTTCATTGCTTCTCTTTTAGTTGAAAGACTTCTGCACAACTTCAGTGTCTTGGTTTCAGAAGTTTCTTCTCCTGTGTCACTACAATTCCTCTGCCACCTTGGGAACTAAAATTGGGAGCAAGGGTAGCCCATAGGATGCTGGATTGAGTGAGACACAAAGCTCTAGTATTCTGTATTTTTTTAAATGGAGAAAAACACATTTAAAGGTTAAAGAGTAAGTACATTGCTGATTTATTAGAATTATCACTGTTTGAGCAACACAACAGTATTTCTGTACTTTTGACCATTTAAGCAATTGGTGGTACATAATTTCAGTATGTGTAATTTTGCTGAGAAATTCTGGTGTTTAAATGGCTCAGTTCTGCAACATTGCTAAATTAGGAACATAAAACTTTGGATGTTCAGTTTGAATTAAATGTTGTACTTTACTGAATTGGAGTTTCCATGGACCAGGAATGATGGATGGTCAAGGATAGTCAAGAAACATTCCATCTTGGGATCAGTGCTAAAGAGTTTGTTAATTTGGTCCTGTGGTTAAATCCAGCTATATGCTCCAGTCAGAGGTTTTCTTTCCCACCGATGTCACTTTTAATCTTAAATAATTAAAGATTTTTATTTGCAAACTAATTTGGCTGCCTCCTTTTGCTTCAATAATTATGATTTTTGGAACTCTGCTTCTGGTGAAATGCTGGGGCATTTTGATGACTGTGCTTACATTATGTCCTCCCAGTTTACCTTGGGGAATTGTGATTGGCCTGGAGGTTAGAAGGAAAGCTCTGAAATCGGAAGGGCACAGCTTGGGACTGCTCCTGGGACCATACAGCTATTTTTAATATTTTATATGTGTGAGTGTATTGCTTGCATGTAAGTGCATCCATGTCATACAGTGCCTTAGGAGGGCAGAAGAGAGTGTCAGATAGCCTAGAACTGGAGTTACAGATGGTTGTTAGCTACCATGTGTGTTCTGGGAACCCAACCTGGGTCCTCTGTAAGAGCAGCCAGTGCTTTTAACCACTGAGCCATCTCTCCAGCCCCACCTTATGGTATTTAGGACATTCCTTAGAACTTGTCCAGGAGGAGAAAGCTTGTAGCTTTTAGCAATACTTAATAATGAGAATTAAAGCTTGGTTCAGTATGATTTTGAGACCATAGACTGACCTTCTGTGTAGACACGTACACTGTGCTTAGGACTTTTGCAGTCCTGGGAACTTGAGAACACATTTTCTTTCTTTTTGTTGTGTCAACTAGAGTGCAGGCTTTTCTTCACAGTCACCTCAAAAGGACTTAGTTCAGGTTTTGGGGAAAAGTCTGAATGAAATCTGGTGCTATATTTGATCATGTTCCTAGAAGAAAGTAGCAGAGGCAGAGGTTGTAATATCTGTAGCTTTTTGTTCACTGAGTTTTAGTATTCATTGGGGGTCTTCTTGGTCAAATAGAAGCCCTGTGTGCTACAGTTATACTACCACTCTGGAGTAACAGCCTTAGGTGAACAGTCTATCAGGACAGGGATGGGTGTATGGAAAGAGAAAGGGATGGATACAAAGTGTTGTGTAGTTGCAAGGCACCTATAAATTTGGTAGAGATCAGCTAAGAATGCTTTGAAATAGGCTTCTGTAACACTTTTGTAACACTGT